GATTCTAATGTAATTGCATATTGAATATCTGTGCAAGGAAAGAATGGCCAACCAGTCGCGGAAAATGAGTGGCCTATGCCCCCCAAATTCTGCGACATCTTTGTTGCTTCAATGCAAATACAAATTCCTCTCCAGTTAGAAGGGCCACGCTCAAGTTGACCCTGTTTGCAAAAATAAGTGACGTGTAGCACCTCAGCACCTGTATCTTTTGCACGCGTGGAGGAGATTTGTTGACAATCAGGCTCTTCAATAATTTCAACCAGCCGCCCACAGTGGCGAGGTCAAAGGTCTGACACATAGCCATGAATAATAACTCAAAGCACATTCAACCCCTTCCTGTTCACTCCACTTTGGGAACAAGATGTTGATAGCTGATTCAATGTCCTTTTCCTTAGCAGTAACAGCCATTTACTGGTTGTTCCAAAGCTCCTCATGACAGCCTTGTTTGCTTTCAGGAAAGTTCATAGGCACAATTGGAGAATCATTTTGTGATGCCATGCCCTTTTCAGCAACATAGACCACAGGGGTGATAGGAGCCTGCTCGTATTTTGCCCAGCTCCTAGCAAGCGACGACTCCAAATCTTTGGATTTATGGACTCTCTTTGCACAGATATAGGCTGACAGCATATAATGCTTATCTCACTGTCATCAGGTTCCTTTTCATTCTCAGCCAAGATGCCAGGCCGAATAAAGAGTGACAGGTTCAGCAACTGGTTCCTTCCAAGATGAGTGATCTGAGACTTATCAAAATCGAAGTTGTTGCTTTCTTTTTCTTCCTTGTTCCATTCACTAGCATTACTGGATCCATCACCAGTTATAGCAGACAATGAATCAATATATTTTACTGCAAATTTCTCACTTCTGCTGAATCTGATTCTGACATGCCGCTTCAAATGTGCTTCCAACACTCGTCTTTCTTGTGACAGATTTGTCACAAAAAAAGACGACCCTAGAATGGATCTTGCAGGCAGGCGTGTTGCGAAGTTTGAATATTCGAGACTTGGTCATTTGAAAAATTGAAAAGGCGGGTCTTTTTGAATCTAAGCACGTGTGTGACTGTTGTTTGATCAAAAGGACTACAATTAAGGTTGGAATCGATTCCATGATGGAAACGGTCAACTAAGTTCATTTTGGGCAAGCATGCGTGTACAAAAATTCGAAATACAAGATTGCGCAGGCGAGCCAAGAGCTGCATGCTTTGATTCATTTTCCAGCTTCGCTTGTCAAACCTCACACATCAACAATCAAATCGTTGCCCTAGAATTACTGCTTCTGACTCCTCACAAAACGATCCTGAACAATCAACTCCTGTTTGACTCTTTATGGATCGTTTGGTTGTCTCAGTGAATTGAATGGAAATGAAATATTCCTCACAATTCTTGATTCGTTTTTTGTCAAACAAAGATAGAAAAGCAATAAAAATAAATTTGGAAAAGAAATGCCTGAAGTGTGTTGTCGAAATAGGTGGCAGTCATTCAGTGTCATAATGCCTCAAATAAAATGTACGGAATTAGTTTTAGTTGACAGCAGGAGCTTATACTTTATATTATAATGTCATTTATTGCGAAACATTATTGCAGGGGGGGAGTGTGAAGTATAGTTCTGAAAAAACAAGGAATGAAAGCATGAAACATTTTGCAGAGAAAAAGTAGCAGATATAAACATGGAAATGCCTGGAATAAAATGTTGGGTATTAATTCAATTTACGGGTGCCAATGAAAATGTCAATTTTACGAACAATTATTGACAAAAGTTATTTCAAGAAAACAAAGGATGGAAACATGGAAAATATTGTGCAACAGAATTGTTATTTATTTCAATATAAATTTGCAGAAATTGAGTGGCCAAATGTCCAATCCTGGAATTTTCTGGTCCCTGATGTACTTGCTGGATCTCATTCTATTTGATGATTCAAAAGTTAGAGCTCTTGCTTTTTCCAATGGGGATGGATGGTAACCATGGATGGAATATACCAAAGCAAAATATTATGATGATAAAACGCAGAGATTCTAATGTAATTGCATATTGAATATCTGTGCAAGGAAAGAATGGCCAACCAGTCGCGGAAAATGAGTGGCCTATGCCCCCCAAATTCTGCGACATCTTTGTTGCTTCAATGCAAATACAAATTCCTCTCCAGTTAGAAGGGCCACGCTCAAGTTGACCCTGTTTGCAAAAATAAGTGACGTGTAGCACCTCAGCACCTGTATCTTTTGCACGCGTGGAGGAGATTTGTTGACAATCAGGCTCTTCAATAATTTCAACCAGCCGCCCACAGTGGCGAGGTCAAAGGTCTGACACATAGCCATGAATAATAACTCAAAGCACATTCAACCCCTTCCTGTTCACTCCACTTTGGGAACAAGATGTTGATAGCTGATTCAATGTCCTTTTCCTTAGCAGTAACAGCCATTTACTGGTTGTTCCAAAGCTCCTCATGACAGCCTTGTTTGCTTTCAGGAAAGTTCATAGGCACAATTGGAGAATCATTTTGTGATGCCATGCCCTTTTCAGCAACATAGACCACAGGGGTGATAGGAGCCTGCTCGTATTTTGCCCAGCTCCTAGCAAGCGACGACTCCAAATCTTTGGATTTATGGACTCTCTTTGCACAGATATAGGCTGACAGCATATAATGCTTATCTCACTGTCATCAGGTTCCTTTTCATTCTCAGCCAAGATGCCAGGCCGAATAAAGAGTGACAGGTTCAGCAACTGGTTCCTTCCAAGATGAGTGATCTGAGACTTATCAAAATCGAAGTTGTTGCTTTCTTTATCTTCCTTGTTCCAATCACTAGCAATACTGGATCCATCACCAGTTATAGCAGACAATGAATCAATATATTTTACTGCAAATTTCTCACTTCTGCTTTGGGGTTCTTTGTCTTCAGAATCTGATTCTGACATGCCGCTTCAAATGTGCTTTTAACACTTGTCTTTTTTTTATGGATCATTTGATTTTGATAGATCATTCATTATTTCATTACAATAAAGACAGATCATTCATTATTTCATTACTTGTCATTGGCCGTGGGCACATCATGATGTAGGTGATACTTGCTGGATCTCATTCTATTTGATGATTCAAAAGTTAGAGCTCTTGCTTTTTCCAATGGCAATGGATGGTAACCATGGATGGAATATACCAAAGCAAAATATTGAATATCTTTGCGAAAAGGGGGAATGGCCAACCAGTGCCAAAAACAAGAGGCCTATGCACCCCAAATTCTGCAACATCTCAGATGTCACATCTTGAGTTTAAGAATGGCAAATCAGTCGTGGAAATTGATGGTTTCTGCAACATCTCAGATGTCAGAATGGCCAAACAGTCACGGAAAACAAGTGGCCTATGCCCCCCAAATTCTGCGACATGTCAGATGTGGCGAATCAGTACTTGCTGGATCTCATTCTATTTGATGATTCAAAAGTTAGAGCTCTTGCTTTTTCCAATGGTGATGGATGGTAACGATGGATGGAATATACCAAAGCAAAATATTATGATGATAAAACGCAGAGATTCTAATGTAAGTGCATATTGAATCTCTGTGCAAGGAAAGAATGGCCAACCAGTCGTGGAAAACGAGTGGCCCATGCCCCCCAAATTCTGCGACATCTCAGATGTCACATCTTGAGTTTAAGAATGGCAAATCAGTCGTGGAAATCGATGGTTTCTGCGACACGTCAGATGTCAGAATGGCCAACCAGTCATGGAAAACGAGTGGCCTATGCCCCCCAAATTCTGCGACATCTCAGGTGTCACATCTTGAATTTAAGAATGGCGAATCAGTCGTGGAATTTGATTGTTTCTGTGACATGTCAGATGTCAGAATGGCCAAACAGTCGCGGAAAACGAGTGGCCTATGCCCCCCAAATTCTGTGACATGTCAGATGTGGCGAATCAATACTTGCTGGATCTCATTCTATTTGATGATTCAAAAGTTAGAGCTCTTGCTTTTTCCAATGGTGATGGATGTTAACGATGGATGGAATATACCAAAGCAAAATATTATGATGATAAAACGCAGAGATTCTGATGTAAGTGCATATTGAATATCTGTGCAAGGAAAGAATGGCCAACCAGTCGCGGAAAACAAGAGGCCTATGCCCCCCAAATTCTGCGACATCTCAGATGTCACATCTTGAGTTTAAGAATGGCGACTCAGTCGTGGAAATCGATGGTTTCTGTGACACGTCCGATGTCAGAATGGCCAACCAGTCATGGAAAACGAGTGGCCTATGCCCCCCAAATTCTGCGACATCTCAGATGTCACATCTTGAATTTAAGAATGGCCAATCAGCCGTGGAAATCTATGGTTTCTGCGACATGTCAGATGTCAGAATGGCCAAACAGTCACGGAAAACGAGTGGCCTATGCCCCCCAAATTCTGTGACATATCAGATGTCATGATATTAGCTGGATTTTGTTATTGTTGAATTCTTGGGCTGTCAGCAAGTGCTATGGCAAATGTGGATCGATTATAGCAGTATGACAAAAAGTAGTAATATTTTTAAGTTCACAGATGCATCTCCCTGGATCCTGTGTATTTTTCTTTGTTTTGCTAAGCATGTTCAAAAGTTTTTAGATGGCCAAGAGTTAGAGTAGTGAATCAAGTTGATTGCATGTCTTCAGGAGTTGAGGGGTCTTTTCCACGACTGTTTGGCCATTCTTTGGTTGTGTTAGGGTTGGCTATTCTTTGGTTGTGCGGATATTCAATATGTGACATCTGACCTGTCGCAGAATTCGGGGGGCCTAGGCCACTCGTTTTCCACGACTGTTTGGAATCATGACCTGCAAGTGTTTGAATTTTACCTATCCCTACCCCTTTTTTTTTCATAAAAGACCCTATACTAACTGTACGACCTCGGCCCCAGTAAAGAACGGCAGGCTCCCAGGGTTGTGGAGATAACTTATTGCCTGTTCTCCCCGGATCGGAGCCAACAGCTTTGGAAGCAACTCACCACCTAGTTTGAGCGCAGACCATTTTCTATGGTTTGCTGCATTAGGGATCCGTTGGGATAGATGCTTCAGTGGTGACGAATTCCCCACCCCTAATGTTTTGATATAAGTAACACAGCCAACAAAGTAACTGCTTTGCCTTCCTGACAACGCTGACGATTGCACTGTTATTCCCAATAAATTTGGTATACTTGGCTGTATCAGGTTCCCACTTCTTGATAATCCCTTTAGCAATATCCTCCCTCCTGAAGTCCTCTTGTAACGTCCTCACTCTATCCGACGCGGCACCAGCACACATGAGCTCCGCACCAGAAGCAGCCTCCATCTGGTACAGAATGGAGGTGATTGTCGCCCCATCGCTTTGATTCATCACCAGGTCTGCGATGCTAGCTTTGTGCTTGTTTGCAAAACTGCGGAACTCCTTCAGGAATTCCTTCTCCTCCCTTTCCCCGACCTTGTCCATCTCGGTGAATTGACTTTGAATGTCATTCTCACCATATTGTTTCCAAAGCGTGTGATGGTCGCTGAACTGTAAGCCCTCTCGGTCTCCACCCTCGCCAGCGTCCCCTCAAGGCAGAGTGCTGCCTCCACTGCGATATAGGAGGTTTCAATTTCCTCTGCCGGCTGGGGCAGCTTGCTCCTAACTGTAGCCATGTCCTTTAACACCGTTTCATACTCAAATGGAATTCCGTTCCCTTCCTGAACGTACATGTAGGACTGCCGTTTCGCATTCTGTGGCAAACCATCCATGACATATTGCAAACGACGGGTGAACTGGCGTTCATCTTCATGAGAGAGGATCCTATTGAATAGAAAAGCAAAGAAAAAATGGAAGTGTTTGGATATGGAAAACCCCGCACCCACGACAAGGACGTCTGCTCTGCTCGCATTTTCATTTGGATCGTTGGCAAACTCCGCACAGAAGGCACTCATTCGAATGGACGACCACATGCCTTTGACCCTCTCTGGGTCGCTACCCAACTGACGAGCCTTCTCCTGCAGTTTCGAGACAAGGTATATCGCAAACTTGACATGGGAACAAAATATCATGAATGGTTGCACAAGCGCCTTGCCCCCGCCGTCATCAACTTCCTCGACATTCTCTTCGTAGCTTTGAAGGACCTGAGCGACGGCGGCAGCCAATTGAGTGGTGTACTGCATAGGATGGACCACGATGTCTTTCTTGAACCGTATCGCCTCCACGTACCGTCTATTATCAGCCTCCACACCCTCCAGTGTCGTGTAGAACTGGACATCCTCCCTTGACACGTTGTCCTGCAAAAGTACCACTAGTTCGGCCTCCCGTATGAGCTCAACGAACCGGCTGAAGACCTTCGGAAGAACCTGCGACACAATTGGACTCAAGAAATGCCTCCTGAGCATCCCCTGTTTGTCTAATACCATGACATGAAACGGTTTTCTTCCTAGCTTCCACAGTGAATTTTTCACAATCACAAGATGCTGAAACCCTGTATTTTGCATAAGCTGGTCCTTGTCCAACTCCAAGTAGTTCGTAATGCCAAGACGCATAGCTTGTTGCTTCGCTAGTAGCCGCCTGAAAGATACAACACAACACCGAAGTGGTTCCTCTGCCACACTGTTGTGATCCAGAGTGTCAATCAAGCTTTCCAGGGACTGTGTCTTCCCCGATCCCATCGGGGCATCGATAACCACAATTTTTTTCTCGCTATTGTAGAGCCCTGCCCAGTCAATGTCCACATGGTCAGTCAGGAAGCCAGAAGGATTGTCACACGCCGTTACTTCCCCGTCTGTAAAGGGGTACCGTTCTTCCAACGGAGATGTTCTCTTTGTCGCATGATATTTACTGCACCCGTAACAGAAAAAAACCAGAAGCATACACTCTCCCACTTGGCGTGTTTTCTTCTACACCGTTATGCACATGGAAGAGGAATTCGCCGGGCTTAAACCTCTTCAAGGTCTTTCTCTCTCCCGTTTTGTCACGAAAGAACGCATCTGGGGACACGAGCTCTCGTTCCGTATCGTTTTCCAACGTCATGGGGGTCCTCGCCGCTCTCTCCGCCTCTTGGTTTGTAGCTCTGCCCCGGGTCGGCCTTTGTTCCCTGTAAAGTAATACGTTACCATCATCGAACGGAACCTCTTCAAAACTCTGTATCCACTGAGGGTAGTGACGATGCTCTCGGAACTCGAGAAACCACCTACGTTTGGCGGGATAAGAAGGGCCTGGTTTCCACTTCGTAAGCACATAGTCTGTCCGGAAGGACACACCTACGCTAGAGCAACAGATTGTATGGTCCAGCCAGTCTCCATACCCTGCCTCCGTGATTGGGAAAATGTTGTGGAACGGCGTCAGGGGCCGTATCATCCGACAGGAGGACCGTTGCCCTGGTACACATCTCACAGGCACAAGTGCAGGGACAGGCTTCAACTTTGTTGCGCCCGGCATACGTAAAAGATGGTTCCGACCATAGATCGCTTCGTCAAAGGGAGTATCATCATAACCACGGAAGAGGAGCTCGCCAGAGGCAGTATCAGCTTTCATCCGATTCAGCATCAGCGCCTTGAGTCTAAACCTCCCTTCTGGGGTCCGCCAACCGCCCACATGCTCCAACAACCACTCGGTGTTGTCCCAAGTAAAGACCCGTGCAATCTCGAACACCACAAGGGGCATTGTTTTCAGCTTGACATGCAAAGAAAATTTATCCCTCCTGCAGCCAGTCAGGACCAAGAACTCTTCCACGACATCCTCTTCGCCTCAACCTTCCTCAATACCTTTGTAATAGCTCCCTTTATCACTTTGAGCCCGGACGCACATTCCTCTTCTTCCCAGTCTTGTACCGCCACCTCGCAGAATGCATCGACGAGCTCACCAATTATGGACGGCTCATAGTCTCTATACTCCGCGTCGAGGTGTGCTTTCAAGACATCACATAACATAGTAATGCTAAGCGTCGATGTCACCTTCTTAATTTCTACATCAAAATGTAACGGCGAGGCCTGTTTCGAAAGCACCACCTCATCCAAAACGACATGTCCTATATGTAGATGGGCTGCCTGGAAGATTTTAGTTGGAGGCGCAACCAAGTACTCCTTCACATGCTTTAGATTGCCTCTGACCACTTTTGGCCTATCCATCGCAAATAGTGCCAGTGTTGAATCCGTCTTGGAAAGGAGTGCCGTAGCAAGCGTTTGTTGCCTTTGGACCCCCTTTTCGTTGAATTTCTGCATGCGGTTGTAGTATACCCCCCAAGCCGCACTAACCTCCGCTTCAAATGCTTCTCGTATGCGCGCTGCCACAATTGCTTGACATTCTCGTTCACGTTCCGCCTGAGCTTCCCGTTCATAGGCTTGTCGTTCTGACTCATATGCATCTTCCTCACCAGAGTTGTAGTCGTAGTCGTAGTCGTAGTCGTACATATTGTTCTCTGATGCTCATCCTTGTTTCATCACTCGTTTCTCTCTTGTTTTTTGTCAATCTTGATATGACACGTACATCATCGATTTGTCGGAAGCACCGACAGGTATATAATCGACCCGTTTATACATCAAGTCGTTTATATACGACCCGTAGTATACAAAAAAATATTAATTTTATAAGAAACTATTCCCTAATTTGTTTACTACGGGTCGTATATAATCGACTCGTATATAAACGACCCGACTATATACGACCCAATTATATATTGACTAGTATATAAACGACCCAACTATATACGACCCAATTATATACAAGTCGTCTATATATGCGAGTTGTATATATACGAGTCGACTATAATCGACTCGTTTATAATCGACTCGTATATAAACGACTCGCATGACACCAAAGCCAATACCATGAAACATGAGCTGCACCAGACTGTCAAGTTTTTCCATCACAGCATGGTCCTTCTTAAACTCAAAGCAGGTAGAATCCAACTTGTCACGGATGGTAAAATGATACAAGCC